ATATTTTATACTATGGCATCACCATTAATTATCTCTCTGTTGTTAGACATTTAACTTGTTCTATTGTGTTGTTTTGTTTTGTGATGGTAAATAAAACTTAATGCTCATTTTTGTGCTTAAAGCTTTTCTGAATCTCTGGTATTCTTTGTTTGCTCAATGTAGATCATACAGCACTTAGTGTGTGTCAGGTTCTATGGGAAGCCACAGGGCCTCCTGGCCAGGCCTTCAGTCTAGGCCAGAGGAAGGCGACATGAGACCCTTCAACAGACCACTGATTTAGTAGAATTAAATCGTGCAATCTAGAACATTTCTTCGTTATATGTGAAAGGACTGCACCGATTTGCACCCTCACCGGGATACGCAGATGCTGATTTTGCATCAGTCACACTCACAGGGGATAATTAAAAACATGTTTTAAATGCTGGTCCTCTGTCTTTGTCTGGGTACCCCATCCCCATCCCCACACGCCAAACAGGGCTGGGACACACTTGGGGAGGGGGACATAGGACACAGGGCCTAGCCGGTTGGATCTGAGCTGACTGAGGAGCCAGGCACATGGAATCTCCACATCAGGACAGCTGGGACCAAAAGAGGTAAATCAGTCACGAGATCTAGAGTGCACGGGGGCCCCGTAGTTGAGGTTGAGACTGGAGGTCAGCAGGTAAGAATCCAGGGACACTGAGTCTCAGCCTGGACTGCACACTGGAAACACCTGGGCAGGCCCATCCGCGATCACAGTGGGGCTGGGGGCGCCTCGGGCACTAGGCTGCTGGAAACAATCCCCTCCCCCAGATCTCTTTTGCAGTCAGGATGGAGAACGGCCGCCCAGAACTCACGGGTGGGGTAGGGATTAGGGTCAGGGTTAGGGTTGTGGTCAGGGTCAGGGTTAGGGTCAGGCTTAGGGTTAGGGTCGGGGTGTCATGTTTAGGGTCATGGTCAGGGTTGGGGTCAGGGTCAGGGTTAAGGTGGTGGTTAGGGTTAGGGTCAGGGCTGCTCTCTGGGCTCCCTGCCTAGCTTGGGCTCCTCCTTCCCTGAAATCCCCACAGTTAGTTGACCCAGCTTGTTCTCCAGTGTGGCCAACTGATGATCTGCATTTTCCTTAAAAAATAACTCCGTTTTGGACTCTTAAAGCAATACATGTTCACTGCAGCAAATCATGAAAACAGAAAGTACATAGAGAAAACCGACATTTTATGTTTTTTCCAGCCAATGATTCACATCGACATCCCGAGGCTGTCAGCCCCCGCAGGTTCATGCACAAGACTGGCCTCCCGCTCTTCCCCCTTCAGCGGGGGCGTCTATTCCAGAGGCTGAGTTATTCTTCAGACTCCTACAGCTTTGCCCGCCTTGTAGCAGAGCAAACATTTATTGAGTACTTACTGGATGCTGGGCAATCAGTGAGGCCACGGGGACCCAAAGATCTCAGTGCAACCTTCTGGAACCTTCAGTCCAGACCAGAAGGAGGAGGCACGAGACCTTCCAACAGCGCACTTTAAAGGCCTTATCCACGGACCCCATGTGCCTTTTTTTCTTTTCATTTTCCTGGAGATTAACGTGTTGGTTGTTCTTATGGTTGAGCTTGTGTTCATTTCAGACAGTCTCTTAGGCTTTCGTGGCATTTCAGGAAGGCTGTGACTATGTCCTCTGCAACTTGTCCACGCTTCGTCTCCCCAGATAGCCCAAGGAAAGTCACCCCTTCGGGAGATCTGGACGTGCCATCTCTACCCAGTGTGGCCAAGTCCTAACCTGGGGGCACCTTTGTCCCTTGCCACTCTTGGCATCAAATCACCCAACTCCTCTCCCCTCCCAGATGTGGGCAGGGCAGCCCTCGGGCCCAGGTCCCTGGGGGCAGGTCTGGCCCTGAAAGGGGCCATCGATGGAAAGTTCCTGTCTGCTGCTCTCAGCAGAGCTGCAAGCACCCGGGCCTACCCCTTGCAAGGCAGCTTCAGAGGAACTCAGGGCTGCCAGGGGAGCCACCCCAGTGCCAAACTCAGGGCTCTGTTTCTGGCGACCTGAATCAGCCACTCACACAGGTGCAGAGTTAACCCGGCGTTCAAGGGGGGCTTCGCCGCCGCACAGCCTGGCGGGGGCTGCAAAGATGCATGAGGGTCGGCCTCACCCTCAGCTGTGGCCCAGGCTGGGGAGAGACGGACACATGTTCTCTGCGGTCGGGGCTCTCTCAGCTGTGCGGAAAAGGGAAATCCAGGAACGCTTCTTAAAGGAGACGGCATCTGAAACTGGGCTTGAGGGACGGGAAGCGACAAGGAGGCAAGGCCATTCCAGGCAGATGAGATCAGCGAGGAGGGAGTGAGCGAAGCGCCCCAGTGGGACGCGGCAGGAACCAGGGCCGGTGTGGGGAAGGGGGCGAAGCCTGGAGGGGAAGCAGCAGATTCCTCTGAGGAAGGGGAGGTCGCCGGGCAGAGTCCTGGTGGGGCCAAGGTCCAGCACTAGGGCTCTGATGGGGGCAGAGAAGATTCCAGAGATGCAGCAAGAATCTGGAGGCAAGAACCGGGGTGGCGAGAGCAGAAGGGACTGAGCCGGGGCAGAGGCCGGCAAGCGATCCTGGTGGTGGCCAGGATGTGGGAGGGGTGACGTGTGTGCCTCAGGTCACAGTGCCTTGCAGATGCTGCCAATCACGGGACGTCGTGGGAAGACCCTGGCTGTGTCTGGACTGCCGTCTGGGTGGCCGTAGCAGGACGCTGCGGGACGCGGGTGGGTCGTGGGGGAGAGGGCGGGAAGGGCCAGCAGGGCCTGGCGAGGTCCCCAAGCAGCGCCAAGGCCCAGTGCCCTGGAGAATGACGGTCACAGTGGTCCTGAGCTGGAGCTTCCGCAGGTGGCTTCTGAGCAGTGAATGAGCCCTGGGAAGTCGGGACACGGAGCCCGTGGTGGCAGTTCGGGGCGGCTTCCCACAGCTGCGAGTTCCTCCCGGAGGCCCCTGACCCGGCAACGGAGGGGCACCCAGTGAACCTTTGGAAGCTACACACATCCCGAGCAGGGAGAGGCAGGACCTTTTGTTTATCTAGGGATATTTGCATGGGGAGGGAGACAGAAGGAGGCTCTCTCCTCCCCTCCGTCCTGCGTTCCAGGGAGCTTTCGCTTGTCCCTACGGCCACGGGTGAGTCACCATCTGTCCTTTCCTTGATTGGGGGGTACTCTGGGGCACAGCCGCGTCTCCCCGATCTCTGTGTGGGGCCTGGCGCGTGGGGCACTCAGGGTGCTCGCCGAGCGGGCGCCCTGTCCGGCCTGAGCGCGCGTTTCCACCTCCCGCGGCCGCAGCACTGCACCGCACGCTCGATCCGGGTGGGGCCCGGTTCCTGCACTGAAGCGCGGGTCAGTGGGAGCAGCGCCGCGGGCTGGGGGAGAGTGGGTGGTCGCCATTTTCTTGCTGTGATGAGTCACTGTGACCCTGCTGGTCACAGCCACACAGTCTCCTTGATGGTGAACTGGCCACGGAGAGTTTAGTTTTTCATTTATCGAAATGAGGGCACATGGTCACAATGCGCTGTGAAAATGGGGCACACCCAAGACACTCCAAGCGCCAAGGCAGGGGTGGAGAACACCAGGTGAAAACCTCCCGCTGCTGCCAGGGAACCCCTCTCCCTGGGGCTCCCCACAGCCTCACAGAGGGGTCAACTTCAAGCCAACACCCAGAGCAGCGACCCTAGCGTCCCTTCTGGAGGAGGTGGGCATCTGCGCAGGGGAACCCAGGCGCGTGCCGCAGCGGGAGCTCACGTGGCCCAGGACCAACCCGGGAGGTCCAAAGACCTGCATCGAGACCGGAGCTCTACCTAAAACCAGCCTCTGGCCTGGAGCAAGGGGCTCGGGACCCTCCGGGTTCTTTGACCCTGAGAGGTTGCCTGGGTCCCTGAGGACTGGAGAGGCCCCGGGAGGCTCCACAGAAAGCAAAGTACAGGGTTCGAGGTCAGGGCCCACGTGGCCCGATGGCCACCCTGCCCGAGCAGGGACCCAGGCTCCCACCAAGAGTGATTCAACAGCGCAGAGGGCTCCCGCTGGGGGGAGGCCAGCTGTCCCAACCAACAGGAAAATGTTGGCTCAGGGTTCAGTGTCCTCAAACAGCCCGGGCCCAAAGGCCCAGCACGTCTGTAACCTCCAGAGCAGAGCCCCGCCCCCTGCCCCCCACAGCGCCTCTTCATCTCCCTTCTCTGCCCCTCTCAGCCCCTAGTGCCTTGGAGTGTGACTCCGTTTGGAGACAGGGCCTCCAAAGAGGTGACTAAGTTAAAATGAGGTCATTAGGGTGGGCCCCGATCCTACAGGATCTGTGTCCTTATAAGGAGAAGAGATCAGGACACAGAGAGACACCAGGAGCCTGCTCAGAGTAAAGACCATATGACAGGGAGGAGGTGGCCGCCTGCTCGTCACCTGCCGACACCTTGATGTCAGAGTTGGAGCCTCCGGAACTGTGAGGAATAAATTTCCGCTGTGTAACCGTGGTGCTTCGCGTGCCAGCCCTAACGACCTCAGACGAGGGGCGCAGGGACAACAGGGGGTGGCCCGGGCCGCCTCTGGCCCTCGGGAGCCTGTGCTGCTCCACCTTCAGGGAGCCCAAGGACATCACGAGCGCCCACTCGCCCCCAGAAAAACCACCCGATCAAAATGCAATCCTCGAATTTCCCCAGAACTGAGCATTCAAGAGAAACCTAACCTGAGCAGTTGCCCAGCAGACGCCAGAGATGTCACCTACAGACTGTGTCACACTCTAAGCACGAGGCAGGCGGGGAACCGGGGTAGTGCCCCCACGCCGAGAGCCGCAGGCCCTGGAGACACAGCCCTGCCATCTCTGTCCCATCAGCAGGGACCTTCTCTCCCTGAGCAGGGCCCTCACAGCGTGGGGGTGACCCGACAAAGGACTGAACCACGTACACCCTGAGCCTCCTTCCTTGGAGAGGTCTGGGGGTGCTGGGTGCTGGGTGAGGGGGGAGCCCAGTCCGGGGTCGGGGGGCCGCACCCTCCAGCGCGTCGGCCTCTGCACACGCGCTTACCTTCCCGCCTCCTGGCTGGTGCTTCAGGTTTTCGGTAGAGCCGATCTTGGACCTGACGTTCTTCAGGTCCGGCATGGGCACGGGGGCCGTCTGCAGGCGGCTCTTGGCGGAAGACGGTGACTTGGGTGGAGTGCGGACCACTGCCACCTTCTTGGGCTCCCGGGTGGGCGGTGTCGGCAGGGACGGGGTGCGGGAGCGGCTGCCAGGAGTGCCCGGGGAGCCGGGGCTGCTGTAGCCGCTGCGGTCCCCAGATTTGGCAGGTTCACCTGGGAAGGAAGCAAGGGAGTGAAGCCAGGACTCAGGTGGTGGTGGGGGCAGTGTTTAGAAAAGGCCCTGGCGGCTGCCTGTCCCGGGGGTCCTTTCCCAGGCTCGCGGCTGGGTTGGGCAGGTGCGAACGAGCTCGAACGCTCGGCCACACCAGCAGGAGGAAGCCCTGAGCCCCACTCTGGAGAAGCACCTTCTCCCTGGTCACCTAGGGCCAGACACCCCATTTCTCCAGAAAGCAACAGAGTGGCTGTCAAAGGACCACCCAACACCCCCTCCCGGAGAGGGGACCAACTCCTGGGTTAAGAGATGGGCTCCAACTAGCTGTGTGGTCTCAGAAAAGTCACTTCCCCTCTCTGAGCTCAGAGGCCTCAACTTGAAAATGGAAATATTAATAATTATAATGCCTGCGAGGGAGGCTCCAGCCACAGCGTGTGTGAAGATGCTTCGCAAACTCTAGTGCAACTCTGCAGGGCCTTTACCCTGAATAAGGGTGACGCAGTGACAGCACGCAGCTGCCACCCTCAAGCCTGGGCCCATCTGACCCTTTCTTCACAGGGCGAATGAAGTTCAGGGCTCTGCCCACCCTCCCTGACTCCTCTGTGGAGCCTGGGCTCATGTCTACGGGTCGCCAGCTTTCCAGACAAGCCGCGCCGCTTTGTGCCGCTGCGCCCTGCCTGGCTGTTCCCTCCCCAAGAACGTCCCTCCCTGCCTACCGCGCACAGCAAATACCCACGCGCCTGCACCTCTCCGAGCACCGAGCACCGCCAGGAAGGCAGCTGCCCTGTCCCCTCCTCTCCCAGCAGACTCTGTCCCTCCCTCCTCTGGCCGTCCCTCTCCCCCACACTTGCTCCCGTTCCTGCACTTCCCAGGCGCCCAGCACATCCAGCAGTTCACTATTCTGTCTGCTCCTGGACCGGCGCTTCTCAAAGCTGGGCCCACAGACCCCTGCGGCAGAATCTGGAGGAAGTGGGACTTGTGAAATGCAGATTTCTGGGCCCCATCTGGCGCTAATGCAGCAGAATCTCTAGGGGTGGGGCCTGCAAGGCTGCTTTCTCTCGAGCTCCCTAGGGGTCTCTGAGCAGCCTGAAGTCTGAGAACCCCCAGCTCACGGGTGCCAATGTGCTACGTGGCTCCCCCCAGCGCTGAGCACCCAGCTTGCAACTTGTAAAGAGTTAGCACCCGTTTTTAGAGTTTGAATTTCCATGTCTCGGACGTCCCTAAAGTGGTCAAGCTCTGTGGCAACAGGACAAACGAAGCCTTTTCTCCTTTCCACGTAAGGAAGCAACAGACGGGGCTCAGCCCCTCTGCCTCCTCAGCCCTCCCGCTCCTGCCTCTCTGGCGGCTCAAACCCTTTCAGCGCCTCTTACTTACAGAGTGACTTTGGGCAAGTCACTTATGCTCCCCGAGCCTGTGTTTGGAGACTGGATGTCGGAACAGGTAGCGGCCAGTGTGGCATCTGGTGCTCACACGGTGGGCGTCTCATAAAGGCCAGTGGGAATTTCACACCGTGGTTGGGGACGGTCCAAACCCCCAGCACCTCCAAATACTCCCAAATACCTCGAGCCACGTGCCCCCCTGCCCGACCCCCACAGCCCTTGGCCGTGCCCGTGACCCCGGAGTAAGCGAGAACACGCAGGTTAGAAAGTGCGTCACGCAGACCATTTGCGCAAACCACACACAAGAAGAGAAACCGGAGTTCGGCCTGTTCTGTCGGCAGGCCCAGCGCATGACACCTGCGTTTCGGGAGCACATCCTCCCAGCTCTAGAGACGGAAGCCCCGACCAGCCACGCGCGGAGGGAGGCCGCCCCCAGGTGAGGCGGGCTCAGAATTACCTCGCGCAGATTTTGCCCCTGCAGGGGGTGGTTTTCTCTGCACTTGCTTCGTAGCTTAAAAAGAAAAATCCACAGAAGGCCTCATTATAACCAGGCTTAAACGGGCCTTGGTGACATCTGCACGCGGCACGCCCCGGCAGGCCATCGAGCGCGGGAGAGGGAGGCGGGGGACGGTTCCGGGAGCAGGGCCTGTTCTAGCGAGGAAATAAGGCTAACGGGACCCAGCGGGGAGGACCCGTCCACCTGCAGGCAGCCACCTGGGAGCAGGTAAGACCCAAAGAGATATGCACGTCCTCATTTCAGGTTGTTAAAAAGTATGAGTCAACTGGAGTAATGTTAAGCGAAAGAAAGGCAGGATCCAACCCGTATATAAAATGCAATCAAAATCCTGTTAATAACCCTTAGATCATACGAATGTGCGAAAAGCACCAGGGAAGAAAATACAGGGTGAGAAAACAAAACCAGTCGGCCGTCCTTGCAGGTGCCACCCCGCCACACACGTGGGTGAAATGCCACCGCAAAAACACGCAGCAGGTGGCAGGCAGGCTCTGCGAGGCCCCCTGCGGACGAGGAGAAGCAGCATCGCCAAGACGCAGGCCAGGCTTCGGCCACCGCCCACAGCAAGGGCCACAGGGCCCACTAGGGGAGCACAGGCAGCCTAGACGCCCCCTGAGTTGTGCAGAATCTAAACCCAGCTGCCTGGAACGGGTCACCAGGGCAGTGAGAGAGGGGACGTTCTCAGCCAGGCTGTCCCTAGTGCCCAAAGAGGGCGACCGTTCTCCATGGCACCACTGGATGCAAAGTAGCTCGACTGAAGCCTCGCCAGGTATCAGAACCGACAGGGTGTTACGCACAGGAGCCCAGGGAATGGGCACGGCGTGTGACGGCCCAGCCAAGACCCTCGGGTTTGGCCAGAGGATTCCTAGAACCCCGGCTAGTTAAGCTGCCCAGGGGCCGAGCCCTGTGTAAGGTCACCCACGGGGACCTGCCCGGGCTGCTGCTCTGTCTCCAGGGAGGCAGCGCCACGCGTCTCACCTGGGACTGAAACACCTGCACGGGAGCTGCCTCCCTGGAGCCCCGGCCTTGGGGCCAGAAAAGCTTGGAGAAGCCCCTTACCTGCCACTTATTAGTCACATGACTACATGTTCCTCCTGCTTAAAACGAGCCAGTTAGACTGCGTCAAGCAAACTCTCAGAACCTCAGTTTCTTCACTGACACAAAGTGGGGATTCGATCTCCGCCTCAGAAATCAAAAGGTTTAGGAAGGAAGTGAGCACCGCACTGCCCAGTTCACTGCGAGGCAACGCCCCGGAACCAGGGCTGTCGATGTCGGGCCGCCTGGGGCGACCCTGCGCCTGTAGGGGGCTCCTGTGACTAAGATTCAAGGGCACAGTCTTCTTACCAGAGCCGGGCGGTGTCTTTGGGGCGGGCGGGGTTTTTGCTGGAATCCTGGTGGCGTTGGCCCCTTTCTGGCCCGGAGGGGCCGCTCCCCGGGGTGTGGAGATCTTCGTTTTACCATCAGCCCCCTGTGAACAATCAGGGCAGACTGGTTTTTATTACTGGGAAAAGTTACTGTCACCGAGGTCAACGCCAGCCCCATCCACTACCTTGACCCAAAGTGAGGCTGAGGCTGGGGGGGACTCTTTGCCTCCCAGATGCAACGAACGTCTTCTACAACTGCAAGGGTTTGCGGGCACAGAAACCCACGGCCTCGCCCAAACGCCAAGTGTCCCGTGACCATCTCCTCCCCGAGGAATTGTGCGCATGAGTTGTCCGCATGAGTCGTGCTAACGTATTTTATAAAAAGACAACAGAGCTCACAGCAACGGTCAGGGGCACTGTCCACTCGGTGTCGACCAACATGCAGGACATGAGTGGACCACACCTATGTGGACCCCCATTTTCTGACTCTAATTATGAATTTATTTGACGGATGGTGGTTGGTTTCATCAGAGGCCCTTGGAGGCACTGTTTGTTGAAAACCTGACCAAGGAACGTTAAACAGAGCTAGGTCGCATTCTTTTGTTCTCTCCCCAAACCCTTGAGTAACCCAGGTCTCGGTAGCTGCCCATGTGTGCTAAGAGCCCTTGGCAGTGAACACGAGCACCCGCTAACAAGCCGCCCGGAGGGCGGGAGCAACTGCCGGCGCGGCAGTCCGCTGAGTGTGGGCAGTGCCTGGGACTGCTCACCCAGGAGACGACCTTTAGACGTAACACAGACTCAGAAAAGAAACCGACATTAACCAAGGACCACAAGATGGTGCAGGAGGTGTGAGCTGGGGGGACAGGTGTTGCTGCCTGGTGACACCGTCCAGCCCAGGCGAGTGCAACCTGGAAGCACTCCTGGTCATCGAAGTCAGGAATGCACAAGGGAACCCAACTGGAGTGGCGATTTTCAAACCAGGGTCCCATTGGGTGCCTTAAGGGGTGCTGAGAGGCATGGCTCTGAGCCCCCTTCCCCTCCTCACCCAGAACCCTGGCCATTCTACACGGCGCCTCTAAGTCCGCGCTCCCATGAAGAAAGGTCTTTGAGGCTAAAAGCACAAATATTTGCAAACCACAGTAGAGCAGCCTGGGTCTTTGCAAAGGTGGTTTCCTTACCTTGAGTTTCATCTCCTTTGCTCCAGAACCGCCAGTTCGGGGAGTGACAGAAGAGACGTGTTTAGGAGCAGAAGGTGGCTCTGGGCACACGGCAGGGCTGGAGGGTTGGATCAGAGGGTCTGAGCTACCAGGAGTGGGGCGTTTGGGGCTAAGGCAAGGCCTACTTTTCAGGGTTTTAGCAGAGGAAGGTGTGGATGTCTTAAACATAAACATAAATAAAATCAAAATAAAAGTCAGCACATGAGGTAGGGAAACAAACTGAAAAAAAGGACAGTAACTAAAAATAAATAAGGCAGTAGCGGTTTAAAGCAGGGACCTCCACGCTGTTCGGATGACATACCCTCATCAGCCCTCCCGATCAGTGGGGACAGGAATGGGGCTGTGCTCCCTGCTCACAGGTATTCACCCGCCAAATGCACATACTATAACATGGTGTACGGGACTGAACTCACATACGGCAGAACTTGTAAAAGAGAAGATGAAAACGAATAGAAGTTCTAGTATGTTCCTTCTCCAGCCCAGTGGATCTTCCTGTGTCCCTGACATTGGAGACCACTGGGTTAAAGGTGCTTCATATGGATACATCGAAGGAGATCACCAAGGTACCTGAGTCTTGGGATGTTTCTCAAGAAAGTGTCCCCAATGTGACATGCGTCAGAAGTGCCCCACTTTCTACTCAAGTTCAGGTGAGAGCTGCTGCCTGCCCGACCTGGGTCCCCTTCCACCACTCTGGTAGAATAATGCTGAAATGAGGGTGGTGCCTGCCCCAAGTCTTGAAGATTCTGTCTGGCACAACTGAGGTTACACACACACACACATGCACACACACACACACACACACACACACACACACACACGCACACGTACCTTCTGGGTAAACTCTGAAATGAAACTAACATTAACACTATCTGGCGAATCCCGATCTGGCCAATGTTAACTTCTGAACAGGTTCCATATAAGGAGAGAGCCTGGGGACAGGTGTCCACGTGGCTGGAGGCTCTCAGGGAGGGAGCTGTCCCCTTGGGCAAGGTCACTGGAAGGGTGGTGGCTGACACCCATGATTTGTCCTAACTGCCTCTGGGGAACTTTGACCGGAAGAAGAGGCTGAGCCTAGGGGCGTTCTGGGAGGGAGGCGGAGCCATGGAGCCGGGTCCTGACCAAGACGTCACTGTGCTTCTTGGGAGTGTCTCCTCACTGCTCTCGAATTCCTCATGGAGGCGGCTGAGACCCTGTCTGGGGCCAGCCTCGGTGAGGAGAGCCCAAGAGATGGGGCCGCAGTGAGAGGGGAGGGACACAGGCTGTGGCTCTGGGCTGGTGACAAGGATGAAAAGCTGGGGCTGAGTGGTGGCGACTGCTCTTCCCTCGCTGTGCGAGGCCCCTCTCCACCTGGCCAAGGCGGGTAACAGAGCTGACCCCTTACCTCGCTGTGAGCAACTCCAGGGCAGGGATGTCGTACCCGCGTGTGCTGAGTGAATGAATGAATGAACGAACGCATGACGAGGCCGGTACTCCCTGCCCCTGCACTACACGTGCATCAGGATTGACGAGCGTCACCACCGCTTCAGGCATCCAGGGCAGACCCCCCCCAGCCCCCACAGGACCCCCGGCTGCCTCGCGGGGCAATGACTTAGTGACGGCTGGCGAGCCCTGACTCTGCACGGGGCAGGCACTTCCGGGAGTGGCCGACACGCCACTGACACACACAGCTACGGCTGCATCTGGAGACCCCTCGGTGCTCCAGTACTGATTAAAATACAGGTGTTTCCGACAGAATTTATATTGGAAATATGAGCTACCTTTAAGAAAAATGGGTCTCATCTAGGGCCACACTGGGATTTTCCAGGAAAAACACGGCTGTACAGTTACGGAGCATTTTCCAAGATGCAAAGTCACCGAGGGAGTAAACTCGGGTGAAATGGAACGATGGGGACAGGGAAGGTCTGGCTGCATTTCTGTGGTGAGCAGGCTGCGTCCTTCACTGTCCTTGGGTTTTCCAACATTCCTTCATTTACTGTCAGGGTGCCATTTTTTTTTTTTTTTTTTTTTGAGACAGTCATGCTCTGTCACCCAGGCTAGAGTACGATGGCAGGATCACAGCTCACAGCAACCTCAAACTCCTGGGCTCAAGTGATCCTCCTGCCTCAGCCCCCTGAGCAGCTGGGACTCCAGGCCCAGAGTGTCACTTAAACTATGCTAAGGAACTTGCAATTAGGAGCATTAATTCATTAACCTGTTGCCCTTCCCCGGCATTAAGTATCACAACAGATAAATGCCGGACTTTTGACTGCACAAAAACACAAAGCACTTTACATGACAGCTGTGGACACTGGCGACACACGCTGTCCGAGTCACACGCGGGAATGAGCTCACACATCGCGCAGAGAGCGCAGCTGCTCCATGAGCTTGACTGGCACCGTCCGCTTACCTTGGCTTTTTTGTCATCGCTTCCAGTCCCATCTTTGCCTTTACTGACCATGCGAGCTGATAAAACAGAAAATGAGAATGTGAGTCACACCCCTTTCCACGGTGCACGAGAGGAGCCCCCGAGGTTAGGCCGGTTTCTCCGGGATCAGTCCACGTTTCATTCAGTTGGGTCTGGTGGAAACCCCGAGGGTTTTCTTCCCCTTTGAACCTGCTAGGTCACCCACTGTTAGTACAAACACAGCACACGGGGTCATTGCTCGGAACAACCTGGCAAGAGGGGGCAGCGGGCTGGCCGGGGGTGGGGCCATGCAGAAGGGACGCAGCGGAGACTGTCACGGGTCCACACCGGCACAGAGGCTGTCTAAGGGAGGAGGACAGTGCGGCCTCCCCCACCCATAGGCTCCTTCTGGGGCTCTGCCAGGGTCAGCCCCACGCCACGGATGGGGTTAGCTCAGCCAGGCCTGGCCTCCTGCAAAATCCAAGGGTCAGGGTGGGCGAGCTGTCTACCCTGTGGCCAGGCGGGCCTCGGTTTCCTGTGAGGTTCCTGCTCACCATCCCGGGCGCCGGGGACTGACTGGACCCCCCTCCGATTCCCCTGCCACGTGGGGCCAGTCTGCCAGTGGTCCTGATGCCCACCCTCTTGGCCATCTTGTGCTGACCACCCCACCCCCATTCCTGGTCATCTGCCCCAGAATAGGAGAGAGCCTGGCAGGGATGTCTTTGTCCCCTAGTTGCTGGGTGCATCCCCAGAACCTGCCCCTCACCAATGGGGCATCAGCCACCAGTCCCAGCTGCTCCCAGGCAAGCCCAGCCAGTCCTGAGCCAGCCCCGTGGGCTTCTGATCACCCACAGGCCTCTGAAGGGCACTATCCCTGCCGTTTCCCCAAATTAGCTACACAACTAGATACCGTCAAATATCCCACGATGACACTGGCTTCTGTGTTTAGGAAGCCACACCCCTCAGTGAGCCGTCTGCCAGCGTCACCTCTAACTCATCCTTTCCCCTCTGTTGACAGTCATCATTGAAAACTGACTACAGATTTTATTCTTTGGTTTCAGGACCACATTCCCCCTGCCCCAAGGACAATGGGGCCCTTTGGAGCTTCTCACTGGCTACAGACTGGATTTCTAGAGGGACCAGCATTGACGACCCAGGCCAGAGGTTTCCAACTTTACCGTGCAGCTGATCACCTGGAGAGGTTGCTAAAATATAGACTCCTGGGCCCACCCCATGGCTGGGTCATAAGCCTAACGTGGCACCCAGGAACCTGCATTTTAATAAGAGCCCCAGGTGGACGTGACTCACATGTTCCTTCCTTTGCCCAAATCAACCAGCATCGTCCATGCCACAACAAAAGCATCTACTACATCAGCATTTCCCAAGTTGGGGTAGTACTGGACGGTCCCTCTTCCAGGGGATGTTAGCAGGGGGGATCAAATAAATTTGGGAAATCCACTCTATGTTACCTTCTCAGAGAGTCACGATATGCGTTAATACATTAAAGGCTCTGACAAGTCCTGCATGCAGCAGAAAACCTAAACTTTGTCTAGCCTGTTTTTTTCCAAACCCATTGGACAGTGGAACTCTTTTTTCCCCTGGACACACCTATTAACATCTGGTGGACCAGTACTCAATAAAACATCGTTTCAGGAAACATTGTAGCAAACTCTCAAGTCACGGTTATTTGTCCCCTAATGTTCTGGAATTCAAAATAGGATATAGGATATTTTTTTCCTGTCTTAAATTTTAAACACAGGTTCCTTTATATCTACGTTTCAAAGTTTTCTCTATAAGTAGAATCTAATCAAAATTTAACAGATGTTTGCAACTGTGAGGTTAAGTAGCATCAATTTCTGGGCCCTACAAGTAATTCTAAAATGCTAAGGGTCCCGGACCTACGAACGAACCTGCCTTGTGGCTAGGAGGCCTCCCGTGCTGCTCCCAAGGGCTCAGGATGGGGCCCAGCTGGGCTCCCTGTGATACCAGCATAGGGACCCCGTCCTTCCCTGCTCAGGGGGAGGCACTTTGGACCAGGAAGGTTTTGTTGGCTCAGGCTCTCGGGGTGGGGCAGGGGTGTTGGGCCAAAGGCTCGGCGTGGGCTCTTGGGCAGCTCCAGATGCTGTGTCGCCTGCTGCGTGCGCCTCCGCATCTCTGCGCTGGGAGTGCACGCCCAGGCGCCGTGGGGTGTGGGAAGGGCGTGCCTCGCAGAGGGCCCTCCCTGCATTCTGAACCTGGCTCCGTCCCTTACAAGTTATTTTACCTCTGTGAGCATCAATTTCCTCATCTGCAAAGTGGGGCTAATCATGCCTGCTTGGGAGTGTTGGAGGGTTCTAGACAATGAATTTAAGGCACATAATAAACACTCAGACACGGGGCCGCTGTTATCCTCTCTGTGGAGTGCCCCCCAGCCTCCTGTGGGCAGACGGGCTGCTGTGGATAAACCCAGAGGCCAGAGAACTGAACAGGGCAGGGAGCACCGGGTGGGGGTGCTGGTGACATGCAAAGTGGCAGGCAAGCGTGAGGGGACACGTGCTGCCAGAGCCTGAGCCACAGGAGAGGCCGAGGGAGGGAGCAGCGTGCCCAGGTGTCGGTTTAGTGGCGTCCTCGGAACCTCGGAAGCAGCAGGAGTCAGGAGGAAGCTCAGCGGCAGTGCCCGCAGCCTGGGTGGCGCAGGAGATCCCCAGGGAAGGGGCGAGGGAGCTCAAGACACAGACCTTTGAGCTGAGGGACCCGGCTGACCGGCTTCCCCCGCAGGCCAGCAGCAGGCCGTTTTTCAGATGGTTCTGGAAGGTCAGCCTCTTTCGTGTCGTCTCCCGAAGGGGGGCCCTGGGCCTCTAGCTCCTCTCCGGGGGCCCCTGGAAACGCAGCCCTTTCCAAATCCAGCTCCGAGCGCACCTGCTCCTTCTGCACGTTGGCTTTGATTTCCACGTGGAACGTGAACTCGGGGGCCGAGTCCTGCTCTTCTGCCGTCGGCCCCGCACCGGGCCTGCCGGGCTCCGAGGCTGGGGCCTCTGCAGACACTTTGGCGAGCAAGTCGGCAGGGAGGGGCATGGCACCCTCAGCGGGGAACCCCG